TGTAGAACGTCGCGGGGATTGGGGGGAGGAAGGATCGATCGAGGTTGTTTTCCACCAACTATGGAATAATCGTGGGGGAACACGGATGATTGGTATCCGATTAATTGAGTTTTTTTTCCGCGCACAAGTGCGTGAACTGAAGAGGAAGGGACACGAGGAGGGAGATTTTCATAGACGGGATCTAGAAGGAAAGGAGCGCGCGTTGGTTGAACCGAAGAAACCGGGGATCGGGGGAGATCGAGGCTCTCGGTAGGTTTACCCATCTATCCGGCTATCCGTCTCTCTTTCCCTCTCCTCTCTCCTCCTGGTCCTTCGTTCATAATTCAGTGAGCAAATCTCGACGACTGCCTTCCGCGAATCACGGCCGGCGAAAAGCGTGGAGAAGCGAAAGGCGCTCGCTCGCTCGCTCCTATCCAAAGAACCTATCGCGCACGTATCTCGGGAGTTGCCTTTTGGACGGTTCTGCTTCTCTTTCCGTCTTCTCTCCCCTGTGCGCGCCACGGATAATTTCCTATTAAGATTCCGTAGCCGTTCGTGCATGAACCTTTGGATACCCGGCAGCCGCACTCTTCTCACAACCACGTTTCGTTTTTTTTCTTCTTTCTTTCTTTGTTTCTTTCTTTTTTTTTCTTTTTTTTTTTTACTTTTATTCGACCCGTTCCAACGTGTCCACTATCGTTTCTACTAGCGTGAACGAAATGGCAAACGCGATAGTAGGCTCCCTTCTCGATAGTGTCCAGCAGGTGGACGTGTGCAAGCCGAAATAATAATGGAAAAAAAAAAGAAGAAGAAGAAGAAGAAGAAAGCGATTAATTAATGTAATCGAGCATGCAGGATCGATTCGCCTTGGAACGGACGATCGATACGATGAGGATGTTCGAACGAAATCGTACAATCGAATTGGAAAAGATGCTGGATCGATCGCTCCTTTCCTCGGCTCCGCGAATTGGCGAAGAAGAAAGAAGAAAAAAGGAAAAAAAGGAAAAACAGCTTCGAGTCATCGAATCAAACTCGTTGGACTCGAAGAGATGCGAAGGATGGGGTAAAGAGGCGATAGATAGATAGATAGATGTGGGAAGGGATCGAATCGTTTCACGATCGCACACGTACCTTCATATGTTTGCGCAACGAGCTAGGATGGGTATACGACTTGTCGCAGCCGGAAACTCGACAATTGTAAGGCTTGTCGGACGTGTGGACGTGACTGTGCTTCTTGCGGTCGCTGCTGTTCGCGAACCGCCTCTCGCAGCCCGAGTATTCGCACTTGAACGGTTTCTCGCCTGGAAAAAGAAGACGGGAAATTAATGACTTTGTAATTGAGTCCGGTGCGCTCCTGTGCTCGCGCGTGTCTCCACGCACGTTAATTGAAATCTGGTTCGGCCGCGTAACGTAACGTAACTTGGAATAGAAACTGAGCTTCCTCTCTTTTCTTTCTCTCCATCGTTCCCTCGTTTAACCGTCATGGATCCAGATCTTTCTCTTCGCTTCCACGCCAATTTTACCATTGTTTTCCGACGAAATTTTAAACTTCTTCTCACCTCGTTCTCGAATTTTTAACATCTTCGTCACGGTCCACATTCGATAATTTCGAGGATATCGTACAAAATTACGCGTAGAAAAATTGATTTCTAAGAGGATGGAAATATTATTTCCTCGATCGTGTCGGAAGCTTCGAAAAGGTTCTGAAAATTCCATTTCTAACCGGAACTGCGTGTTAACTATTCGCGATTATCCGGTGCAGCAAGGGGAGGAAGGATTAAAACGGGAAAAGTATTTTTCCTCCAGGGAGAAAATATTCTCGTTACTCACTCACAATAGCCTGGTCGAAATCGCGATTACATCATGATTTGGCGAATATCTTGATGAGAGCAACGGTGGAACCGTTTCTCTCCTCCTGGGGTTGGCCTGGAGGCGAGGAGAGGCGCAGTGATATCGAGAGATAAGCTCCCCTGCACACGAATGGCCGCCGCCGCCGCCGTCGTCGTCGTCGTCGTCGTCGTCGGGGCGCAACGAGACCGTGTGGCGTGACTCTTATTTATTTCCACCGGAAGTTGACTGGAATATATTTTACCGTCGGCTCACACCCCGCCAACGTCCTCCACCCGTATATACACTCCCTTTTTCCGGCCTCCTTCTTCCTCTCGGAGAAGTGGCGAGAGCAGGAAGCGCAAACTTGGCGGATTTTTTTATGGGGAAAATGGTGGAGGCCAACTCTCCACCCTCTTAAGGGGTGAGAAAAAAGGGGAATTCCTAGAGATTCAACGTTTGGCCCAACGCGGTGGGAACGAAGAGATATTCGCGGTATATTTTTTTCCTCCCCCGTGGAAAAGAAATGACGGATTTTTGCCGCTCGAATAAATCGATATCCCAACAATCTTTCCAACTCGTCGTCGAGACGAAATTTCGAATATATTTCGAATTGCATTTACGAAAGGATAGAAATCCTCGTGATAAAAGGAAATCTAGAAAGATCAAGCTGCACTCGAAAATACCTTTTATCTCGAGCGCGCAATTAAAAAAAGTGCATTTCCGTGCCATTGTTCTTTTAAACAACTCGCAATCGCAAACTCATTTTTCCGTCGCGTGTCGCGATACGCGTGGACGAAGAAGCGCAAGAACGTTCGGGTTTCGCTTACGTGGGATCGAGGCAACGTCGTTATTCATCTCACGTGTGAAAAGCGCGATAACATTGCCGTGTTGCGGTGACGTATCGCCGCTGCACGGATTATATTTAAATCGGTTGGACGTGTGGGGTGCGGGTACTTATGGCAGCGGCGTCATAAGAAGGCGTCTTAAATATTTATGAAGCTGGAAAGATAGCGGTCCCCGGTGTCGCGCCGTTCTTATCTGACGTGGCTCTGGTCTCCTCACCCCCCCCCACCTGACCACCACCTCCCTCCCCTCGCCCGCCACCATCAACGCCCGTTTCAACGTTGTTCGCAATTTGCCCCGCGAAACGTGTAACTCGCGTATAACCCGCGAACCGTATCGAGAAACTTTATTAGAGAAAATTTACGATGCCCCCGCTTGGTCGCGCGTTTATCTGATCGAACAACAGGAGAGAAGAACTCCAGTTTGTATTATTTATACTTCCTTTCGAAGTAACGAAAGATCCTAGGTAGGCGATTCACGCGAGAGTTATCGGAGTTGTGGATCTTAGATTCGAGCGGCTCGAAAAGAGGAAATTGGGTCAACCACCCATTCATATTTTTCCGTCTGCCGAAACGCACGTTGATTTTTGGATATCCAAAGAGATTGGAAATAGGCGGATGATTTTTCATTATTCGCATCTCGTATTAACTAAGAAGAAAAGAGTGGTCTCGAGTCGAGACGTGGAAATTGATATTTTAAATTAGAAAATTTGTCGAAGTAGAGATTATTAATTCTTAATCGTATCGTACAGCTTGATTTGGATCGTGCACAATTTTCCTCGATAATCTCCATCCCGATTCGAGACGGAACAGATGACGCTGCTCGTCTCCCTCTCGATTCGTCTCCTTCGGTGTCTCCACCCATCGATTCGCACCTCCTCGAGGAACCCTCTCGACGGCCAATCGAGACGAAGACGAGACGAGGGGTTCTTCCCTCGAGGTGGCAAGAGGAGGCCCGCGTTTATCCCCCGCGCGCAAGAGGAGAGAATGTGGCGTGCTCCTTCCAAAAACGGGACGATTAATAACTTTTCAAATCTGTCCCCGGCAGGGTCGTGAGCCCTGCGGGGCCGGTTCGGTAGCGAGCGCGTTGGCAAATAAATAGGAGATAAATAAAAGCTCGCGTCTCTCCTACGTCGTGCATTCTGTCGCGGGGTTGCGTGTGCAGATGGCAACAATATGCCGTGAAATATTGCCCCCGGTTGGTCGTGTGCGGGGCCGTGCGTGTGCGTGCGCGCCTCGTCCAATGGGAAACAGGGCCCCGATACATCCCAACGTGTCTTTCTCCTTCCTACCGTCGAGAGACGAGACACCGGGAGGAATCTTGGCGCAAGGGGAGATACGTCTCCCTCCCCTCCCTTGAGGGGAAGCTCGAATAAGAATTTCACGTGCGTGGTATCGGTTTCAACGATTGAGAGAGATGCGGTTAAATCGAGTAGTAGTCTTCGATTAATCCGGATCTCCAACGACGATCATCTACGTACGTAGAGATCACAGTTGTGAAACTTTAAAATTTTTATCGAAAGCTTCTCGAGCGTCTCGATCGAGAATCCGTCGGTTGGAAAACACGGGTGCGCGATGCAGCCTCGCATCGATGCGAAGCGAAGCAACCCGTTGGCGAAAGTGGGATTGTGCGAGGAGGGAAGAGTAAGCGCGGGACACAGGGGACACGCAGACGCGTATACATAAAGTGGAGATTCATGGTGCAGCATGGTTACTACAGCGTACCGTGGTTGGGGAGGGGAAGAGCAGTTCCCGAAGGGCACTGTAGGCACCGTGTTATGACTTTCAGAATGGGGAGGCACAATGGCCCAGATCCGCGCCGGATAAAATAGTTATTATAATCGTTTTGGCTACGGCCGGGATCGAATCGAGGAGAGAGAGAGAGAGAGAGACAGAGAGAGAGAGGAGCAACGCGTACGCGTCTTCGATCCGGTGTACGAGCGGATCGCAACCGTGAATTTCACTCGTGCACCCACGTCCCGAATCCGGATCGCCTCCAAAGAGAACAGTTTGAGAAGAACAGCGATCGAGTTTGAATCCTGTATTCGTTTGGAACGCGTTTGAGAGAAAATTTCTCGTTGCTCGAGAGATACTAATAAAACGTCAAAAACGTCGGTAAATTTTGAAATTTCGTTTTCTCGAGAAACGAGAAAAGTTCGAGAGTTCGAAGGGTTCGATCTCGAGGAGGAATGTTGTTGATTTCTATACGTTTGAAACCGTTGAAAATCCCAAGAGAGAGAGAGAGAGAGAGAGAGAGAGAGAGAGAGAATATTCTGGAAGTAACTTTCGTTGTTTTCTTGTTCTTTTTAGAAAAGAAAAAAGAAAGAAAAGAAGAAGAAGAAGAAGAAG